CTTGCTTGTTTGTTTAAAGACTTAAGCCCGATTTCTTGGGGATAATGGTGTTATGTTCACTTTTATGATGGAGAAACCTGAGTTTCTCAGGACCCGTTTTGCTTTCCTTTAGTTTCTGCCAGTAACACTCACCGAGTACCTGCTCGGTCAGGCATTGCACCCGGTGCTGAGCCTTTTATGCCTGGGAGATGGAATCTTTTCCATCAAGAGTTTGACAGTCCATTAAGAAGATAGGCATGCCAGTATAACAAAATGCACCAAAGTAATTATAATACTAGAGGTGAGTACAAAATCCAGGGAAAATGTAACTTTAAAAATATCCAGATCTGCCTGGGGCGGTGAGATCCGGAGTAGAATTCATCACAGAAAGAATAACATTTAGACTGAAACATCTGTTAGTGAAAAGTTGTACGAAAAGCTGGAAGGAGGAATAAATGATTCCAAGAACCTACTATAACTTCCTGTTATCTTTGAATGAGTTTAGCTCTATTAACCCTAGTGAATTTTTTTAGTTTTCCAAATAAAATTTTTTTTACTAAGATTTTATGAAATAAAATGTCTGGCAGATTTTTCAGGCAGTAGACAACCAGAGAAATTTCAGAAGACTAAAAATTGACAAACAGTAGAGTTTCAGTTTTAAGAGGAAAGAGTCAATGGAAGACAGCGTTGTGAACTGTTCGACAGGAAGGGCTTGGAATTAGAGCGCTAAGGGAGAATTCGGGCTTTGCTCCTTCCTCAGTGTCGTGTGGCCTCAACTGAGTTTCTGAGCATCTTTGTTCTTTAGTGTCCTCGTCTTTGAAATGGGAGACTGAGAGAACATAGTCCGAACTTGTAGTGAGGATTACTTGGAAAGTGCTTAGGAGAACATGTAACACACAGTAGGCTCTCAAGAAGTATGAGCTTTTTTAGAATTGTACGAACTACAGACTGAAGGGGTTGACCTCAAACACAGAACAGATTCCAAAAGAAAAGGTTTAGAAGACCTGAGACAGAAAAGAAAGTGGTGACATCTAAGGACCAGGGTAGGCTCACCGACACAAATCATTGCAGAGCCCCATCCATTTCCTGTTTGGGCTCAGCCTTCTCCTAAGATTTGCTGAAAGCATTTCTGTAGTAAAGCAAGCTAATGGTTTTAAGATACCCACTTCCTAGGGAAACAAGGATAATGAGATGGCGACTATCAGGATGGTGATGGTGGTATGGGTATAAAGACAATAGCAGCCAACTTTCAGAGAGCACTTTTATGTATGTACCTAGAATTTTCCATGCATTGCTGGACTTGATCTTTGATGACCTGGAGGGAAGGAAGAAAGCACCCCAACTTTCAACCTTTGAGAGGTTGTTTGCAACATATGTATCTTATATCTTGCTGGTCATTGTAACCAAGAACCAGAGTCCCATCTCTTCAGTTCATTCATTTCAATATTTGTTGGGTCATTTCTAGGACCCGGGCATGACTTTAGGTGCTACTGATACAGCACTGAATAAATAAGATACTTTTCTCTTGGGCCTAACCTTTTCTTGGGGAGAAAAAGAACAAAAGGGATATTAAAGAAACGTCTCAATTTGAAAAACAACCAAGTTCAAAAACTTAGGGATAAATCTGAATCTGTAATAAAAATAAAATCAATGGAAGCTGTGACTTCAGTGATACCGAGTATCAGGCACTCCCCAGATATGAGTTGGCATTTGAAACCTGTTCTAAACTTACTCTTTGATTCAGTAAATATTTAAATTCCAACTCTATGTCAGGCATTGAATGAACAGCAGTAAACAAAGCAAACAATAAATTGAGTGTCAGAGAAAGCAGGTATTTTCTCCAAGATCCAAATAAGTAGTAAATGGTAAAACCGGAATTTGGAAGCAAGTTTGAGGACAAAGGCACCAGTTAGGATGTTATTGAAATTATGTTGGTGGCGGGGACAAGAGTCATAGCAGAAAACAGCAGATTCTCTTTGAAGGTAAAAGAAAAACAGGAGTTGAGAGTGAGTCTGTGACTCACAGAGGTTTTTGGCCCATGTCATACAATTACAATGGGGACGGGGAGCTTCTAGAAAAGCTTAATGTTTGGGGCAACATTAAGAGATTCATTTTGAACATGTTGACTTTGAGACATCCATTATACCTCCGATGGGAAATTGTGGAGTACCAGGTTGGATTTACAAGTCCAGGGTAAACGGGAGCAGCTTGGGTTACAGATGAATATTTGAGGATTGATGGCAGTCTGTTGTGGACCGCACTGCCTGGTTCTAGGAATTGTATCTCGACTCCTTATGGCTGAGGGCAAGGGACGACCTTTGGAACTTGAGCGGCAGGAGATAAAGCTTGTCTCTGGTAGCAAACGCTGCCTCAGTTTCCTCTCCCTGCCCCCAAAGCTTGGTTGGAAGACACCTCACAGTGGGGGGCAACCTAAGCCAGACTAGATCACGTGGGAGATCTTCATGGAAGGACTAGGGGGCTGCAACAAAGAGGGAGCAATGGACTCTTGCTGCCCACCCCCAGCTTTGACAAAGCCTGAGTCCCCATGTTCTCTGGGAGAAGCTTAAGCCTGAATACCTATTGGGGAGGAGTGCAGCTCCTTGCCTTGCTAGAGCATGTCCTGGGGAAAAAATCTGGCATCACAAAGACTTCCTGATAAACCTGTGAAATCTGCTCTGCTAAGAGTGCTTTCATTCATATGTTAAGGGTTCGAGCAGGAAACCCTAAAACTCTGTTCCTGACAGACTCTGACTCATACTAAGTCCTCAGATTTCTTTGAAATGTTATCTACTGTTTGATCCTTGCAACCTTGTATTCCAGTGTATTATGACCCAATAAAAGCCCCTGGAGGAAGGGGCTTGAGGCCTTTTTCCTCTGGGAAAAAAGCCACCTCTCCTCCCCAAGCAGATCACATCATGTCTCAGTCATGTTTACTCTCATCCATGGCAGCTGGGGGAACTTGTGAGGAAAGTCACCCCCACAACAGTCGGGTAGAAAGGTAGGATCGATTGTGGCCCAGCTCAGAGGCCTTGGATTGCCTTAGGCTGCAAGTTGCCATCAGGTCACAAAAAGCAAAGAGCCTGACCCTTTGTCCAGAGTCCAGTGGAGGAGACAGACCGTTTGCTTTTGTGACGAGAGATGGGATTACAGAAAGTCTCACGGGTACCACCGGCTTTGTTTCTCTTGTCACTGATTTGCTTTTTATTTTGTTTTTTTAGATAACTTGACTCTTTAAATACTTGGAAAAATATTCGGCCGTGGTTCTTAACTAGTAGTGCGCATAAGAATAACCTAGGGGTCAGAGATTGTTAAAAATTTGATCGGTAGGCCTCATTGCTAAAAACGTTTATTCAGCAGACTGTGAATGGGGCACAGGGAACCGCTTTTTCCGTCCAAGCATCCTGGGTAAATACGTTCTGAAGTCTGACTTTTCGGAACCATGACTCTTCTCTCCCCTGCCTTGGTATTTAGCTCTTATTTTCTGCTCCTGTGATGAGGGGTTGTGGCTTTTTGTGTTTCTTCACTTTATTAGAGGTCGCTCCGATCCCCTTTAGACACGGAAGAGCATCGCTGGAGGTCAGAGTGGGCCTCTCTGCCCGACTGGGCTTTAGCTCAGCCATAATCTGATTGTACCTGGATATCAATGTGAGAGTAAAGTGGTTGCCTCCACCAACGCACAGCATTTATAGAAGAGATGAAGATAAGCTTCCTTCCCCCTTATTCTTAGGGCCAAGCACCTAAAAAAAGGCCAGAGAAGGAGGGGTTGCCATAGTCTCTATAAAGGGAGAGCTTGTGAGTCCCCTTCATGCACACCCTTTGCAGGGATGATGGAAAGCAATGAAACTCTCTAACCTTGAGCCCAGTAGGAGGACTTCACGGGAACCCTGAAAAGAGCTTTGAAGTTTGTTTCTTGAAGTTGGGAGGTTCAGAGAACTGAAGCCCGAGCCCCATTTGAGAAGTAAAGCTGCTGGCAGCAGTCTAGAGTCTGATCCCACCCAGGAAATGTCAGGAGAGAGGCCAACTCCTTGATAGTAGGGATAGGAGGCGCTTACCACACCGAGGCGAGCTCATGCTCTCTGAGTCTGTAGGGCCAAGGCATGGATGCAAACTTCCTGTGGGTCGCAGTGGGACTCACAGGAGAGTCATGACCAGTGGGGTGACCCTGCCAGAGTCACAAGTGCCCCCAAAAGAGAGAGATATGCTTTCAGATCAGGGGAAGTATATCTGCTAAGTCATCATTTATATTACATGATACCCAGGGGTGTCCAGCCGTTTGGCATCTCTGCACCACACTGGAAGAAGAAGAGTTGTTTGCGGTCACACATTAAAATACATTGTAACGTGTAATCACAAAAAAATCTCATAATGTTTTAAGTAAATTTATGGTTTTGTGTTGGGTTGCTTTGACAGCCATCTTGGGCTTCATATGGCCCGGGGGTCAAGGGTTGGACACCCCTGATTCTCCCACTTGGAGCTAATCCTCAGATCCCCACCCCCATAGGTCAATTGGGTTTTTGCTTGTCCTTCTAATAAAAAATGAAATTGCTTCTTTGAGATAAAACACACAAAGGCGGGAATTACTTCTTCAGGATGCACAGATATACTTCCTCGAAGAAGGGAGTTTTCTCCATCAGATGCACGGGACTACAGCCCTTTTCCATTAACTGCTCTCTTCAGAAGCAGTGACTTAATCTGCAGGGCTACAACCCACTCTAGGTCCGCTTGGATGGGACACAATGGAAGGCAAATAAAAATTAGTGTGAAGACGATTGATGACAGCTCTGATGATGGGGGTGAGTAGGGTGGAGTGGAGGCGGGTGGAAGACAGATAGTGAAATCGTCTGACTAACGCATCAGAAATGACAACCAAAAGCTCATCGCATCCGGCTCTCACTTCTGCCTAACGCTTACCAAGCAGTGTTACACGTGGGCAAGGGACTCTCTGATGGACCGTCTTGTTCTCTGGGTCACTGACTCTAGTCTGATAACCCACAGATAAGGCAGCCACAGTCCACTTTCCAAGACATATTTTATTACAGGTTTAAAAGTAGGAAACTACTCGAGGAAACAAGGAAGCAGAGTATGCATCGAAAACAAAGGCTGAAATCACACCACCAGGGACATCTGAAGATCATCCGTGGGTGGCTGTATCTCTGGCTGCCACCAATGAGACCTCTGTTTTCCCTGAGAAATTACTGTCATGTGAGGCTTTTGCTGCAAATACAGTTTCATTGAGAAGGACAGTTTGACAAACAGTGGTATGCCGGGGTGAATGAGTTCTCAAAACCAAACTAAACCAAGCTCTGATTTGTCATGCTTGCCAACTTCCATGGTACAAATAGCCCCTCTGTGGCCAGTTTCAAGGAGGGCAGTATTTAATAATAACCAGATTGGAAAAAAAAACTTCTAAAAATTGAACAATCAGCTCCCACAAATTAGTGGCAGCCTATTCCAGCACACTGCTGCTTATAATTTCACAAAGATCATTTCTACCAAGTTTCCATAAATATGTGCTATAACTTAAATTTCCTGAGACGGTACGTAAATGCAAGAGGAACAAAGTACAGAAGCCTTTCCCCCTCTTGCTCCTCAGCAGAAGTTTAGAAAAATACTTCCTAAGAAACCTCTTGGCCTCGGGCTCACCCTGTTCTCAGAGCAATTTCTGTTACACATGATACAAATAGATTTAAATTAGCTTTATGCGTGATACTATTAATTAATATACTGTAGCTTTTTACAAATATCCATAAATATTTTAAATTCAGTAAATACGTAATCATGTTATGTAGCTTTCAACAAGAGTCCACAAGGAGGTTGTAACAGAGTCCCAGACCTGGGCAGGCTGCCACTGAGTTGAGCTGGTAACTGTTTGATCAAGGCAGGCTCTTGGAAACGAGGATTTGGTTGGAGTTCTCCCTGAGCAACTCCTCGGTGCTCCCTGCTCCAGGCAGGGAAGGGAAAAGAAGTTTGCCAAGAAAGGAGAGATCTGTTGAGGCTCCCCACTGCCCACCTTGGGCTGAGAGGGACTACACCTCCCGAAAGTTGAACCTGTCAAACTTTATTGGCTTAAAGTGATGGCGGAAATGCCAACTCTAAAGCTGAGGCAGTGATACAGTGGGAGGCCCACTGGCCTCATTAATCACTAGTTCTGTGGATTGAAACAGGTCACCTGCCTTTGTATACTCATTGTTAAAATAGTGCCGCAAATGCCTGCCCCATTAAATTGATAATAACCAGTTGCCCTGTGATATGCGAAAGCACCTTGTAAACTGTGAAGCGCCAGCTAAATACATGAAATCCTTCCACAACACCGTACAGCGCTGGTAGTGCCAATTTCCAGGGTGGGACCTTGTGATTACCAGTGCTTGCTCTGTCTTTACCATCGACGATGTTTAGACGCGCACTCAAACAAGATCTCGTGAAGTCTTGTGTGAAGGCACAGAATGACCCCTTCGACCGGCTGGCTCTATGAAGCACCCTGCATCCTAAGGATGATAAAATCAGAGGAGTTTCCCCGAATAAAGTGCATTCCATTCCATGCCACCTGTGCCTCTGTTCCATTAGTTCTTTAGAATGTTCTCTATCCTCTAATGTCATCACGTCTGAAGTGGGGTGCTGTTGGCCACCCCACCAGTCTGACTACATTATTAGCAGGGCCTCAGAGGAGGGCAGTGTGGGAAAAATAAAGTGAAACAGCCCAAGAGTATGAGAAAAAGACGAGGCTGCTGAGCTAGATCCGTTTAGCATGCTAGGTGAGACTCCCATGAGAGTAAGACCTCATTTTTCCACCCAGGGATTCAAAGATCAGACAAAGACTCTTCGAGGAGCTTCTGCCCTTTGGCCACCCATGTTCATTTTACCATGAATGAATAGTGTCTTTGCCACGCCATTGTCAGGGGTAACCAAATGCCCTTGGCCCTTCCTCTGAGTCTCTTTCAGATAAGCGTGAGAGGTGAAAATTCATAGGCAGAGGAGTTCTGTTTGTTGGGATGTTGATTTGTGCACCCAAGCTGTAGACATTGAAAACCTGCCTCCTCCAACCCACGCACCAGCATCTTGGTAGGTGCTGAAGAGGACGGGGAGACCAAATCAAGACTCTAGGGGACGAACTGGGGATTGGCTAGCAGTAAGATCCCCCAGTACGTATTATTCTTTAGAACCTGGTATTGAAAGTTGAAGATCAAGTCTATTGTATCGCCTTCATGCAGCTCAAAAATCCCTCCTACATTTTGGATTGAAGCATTATTTGTTATGCTTTGTATAATGCCTTTGTTTCTGCGGAGCCTCACGTCAAAAGGAGCTGTTTCTTTGTAGGTGGTATTGGGAGCCACTTGACCATAAATTGAATACAAGCCATTCCGAAGTATCTGCAGCTTCCAGTCAGCTACCTGCTTCACGCAAGCAGGCTCGAGAGATACCATTTGCCATTTTGAAGGTAATGGTCCTAGAAGAAATTTACAAGGGAGGGGAAAAAATGGAAAGAATAGTTATTTTATTATTTCATCATCATCCTGCTTACGGTTCTTTCCCCTTCATATATTAATAGGTTGTTTGTTCACCTGGTCTGTACTAGTGGTCTCCAACCACAGTTGGAATATATTAAGTATCCATCTACTCCTTGTTTAGAGAAATTGCAAGCCCTACGTGTGTCACTTGCTTGGAGATCTCTAAGGAAATGAATTTAGAATAGAAAAAGGGGTTAAGTTTTATGGGGCATTGTGTGTCTCATCAATGAGGACTCATGCACCAGGATTGTGATAACCAAGGTTGGAAAGCCAGGAAGGATAGTCATGCTTTTCTGTGTGAGTGCTGCTTACTATGTATCACTTCATTAATGAGATGCATTTCCTGAATCCATGTACCGTAGTGCTGCCCCGTCTCCATCTCCCTTCACCCCACTTTAGTTTTCTCCATAGAAGGTGTCAGCAGCATCCTATGAATTAAGTTGTCTCTTTATCGTCTCTCTTTCTCCCTCACTCAAGACATCTTTGTGCATTTGCTAGGTCTTCAGCACCTAGAGAGTTCCGGGGACCTAGTACATGCTCCATAACCACTTCTTGATGGAGTGATACATCGTGGTCCTGAACTGGGTGCACTGTGTCTAAATTAGGACCCTTTTCCTCAGTTTGTAGCTACATATTCTTCAAAAACCACTTGAGACACCATCAACCAAGCCCTCCCAGAATAGCTACTGGCAAATACATAAATTTCAAAATGGAAAATTATTTGACTGTTTAAATATAAGTATCCCTAGCTTAATGCTAGCACAGGGGGTGGAGGGAGGATCGAGACTTAATCGTTTGTTTCCATGGGAATACTTGGAATTTACATAGTTTCCTAATGTTAGTTGTTTATACACAGCAGTGTGATTTCAGAGCCCCAGGAGGTGCTTTTACCACCCAAAATACTTATTTAGCTTGTTCTCTAATTCTCCATGATTGTTGTTATAGGGAGCAGAGCCTTTATCCCATAATTAGACGAAACCCCTGATGAGAATATACCCAGGAAGAAATAACATATTGACTAAAACTTTTATTTCCATATAAATGACTGATAGAAGACTCTGAGTATAGATTTCACAGGATCACAAAGAAAAGATCATTAGAGCAAGAAGTCTATGTGGGTGACTCTGGAGCCCAGCGAATATCTTCTGGCCTGACACGTGGCAGGCAGTAGCCAACAGGCTGGCAAGTCACCAGGAACAAATGTCCCTGGTTCTTTTACTCAGTTCTGTGACAGGGGCCACCCCATTCACTAGAAAAGCAGAAACCAACCACGAAGACAGAGACGAATAAGCAGAGGTTCCCCGAATCCCACGAGCCCGGGGAAGCCTGGCGGTCTGAGCCGCACTGGAAGCAGGGGGTGCTGTCTGCTTCTAGAAACTTTCTCAGCTGAAAACGTGTGTTTGGCCTGAAACCTAGAAACAACCCCAAATGTATTTATTTGCATTTTTGTAGGTATTCTAAGACATAGCCTAAGGCTCCATTGAACTGTATACTTTAGTGTGTTTTCTAAGCAAATAGCAGGTCACTATGAGGGAAAGTGACTCAGAAACTGAGAGGAGAAAGAAGCAGATGAAGTAGCCACTCCCCCCCACAAAAACTCTCATTCCTTTTCTATACATTTAGAAACAAAAATAGCACCACACACATACTCTCTCTGCCGGACACTGGCAATGTGTGAAATGTGAGAATTTGAGTTTGTCAGAGAAATCTGAACTGTGTTCTTTACTAAAACCTTGAATTAAAAGTAGGTTCCAGGATCTCAGATGCCCAGGCCCGTAAAGGTGCTGTGTGTTCCTGCCAAGAGATGTGACCTTCACCGGGCACCACTGGTCTCTCTGGTTGACCTCAAAAGCCTTGGCTCCTAGACCACAGGTGGGCCCAGGATAAGCAGTTAGAAATAGTAGCTGAAGAATGACTACGATAGGATAAAGGTTTCCCTGGTGGCATTGGAAATTGCCTTCTTGTACCAAATGCTAAGAAAAGTAAGAAGGTAGCATGCAAGACAAGTTACTCACCAAACTTAGCAACACAGGGCTCGCCAACAGTCTGTAGGGAAAGAGAAAAGGAAATTGATCAGGATGTTGACCGCATCGCAGCTGTCTTAACTGATTTATTTAGAGCCTCAGATTCCTGAGGCAAACTTCTTTTGCTAGCCAGGAGAAAAAAAAATCCTCCCTTGACTTTGTCTTCACTCTCTCAGCTTCCCTTTACAGACATCTGGCTTCATCCTTGACCTTTTACTACCTAGCGACCCTTCTGAGTCTTCCAGGCAAAAGTTGAGGTCTCATTCCTCCCACCTAACCTCTTCCCACAAGACAACTATCCAATCTTGGACTCTCACCCCCTTGGACCACAGACACTTTCTATAAACACCACTTTCCTCACTCCAGTGCTTACACAAGGCAACCCCTTGACATTTATGAATAAAATAACAGAATTTTATTTATGTTTATCTTTATGTTAAATAATAAGAGATTACACTATAGAAATATTTGCAACTGAGGTTGCTAAAACCACTCATTTAATAGTCAGACAATCACACGTTATACAGAGTAACTGAAAAACCCTGAGGAGAACTGAGTTTTGAACTGTTGCCACATACCACAATTTACAGGCTGCAAGAAGCCCTCAGCATGGTTAACTTTTTTAACACAAGCATTTGAATGCCAAAGCCTTTTAATACTTCTGGTAAGATCAAGTATAATAAAAAATATACTGTGTAAAGTTTATTGGTTTCCTGGTGGCTGAATGCTTAGCAGACTTTTGGAAATTAAAAACGTTGCATTTTTTTAAAATAGGATTTCTCTGTCTGCTGTGACAAGAATAAATTAAGGGAAGCCAGGGCAAGGGAGTGAGCCCAGCTAAGAGATCCTTGTAGTTATCTGGGCAAGAAAGCATGGCGCCTCTCGCCAAGGTTCCAGCAGGTGGACATGGTGATCGGTGACTGGAAAGAGGGCCAACAGGAGTCCTGACTTGGATATGCGATGAGAAAATGAAAAGAGACAGAGAAGACCCCAAGATTTGGGGCCTGAGTCATTGGAATAAATCGATGAGATGAACAAGGCTTAAGAGTAGTTCGTCGTGGGGAAAGAACGAACTATGAGTTCTTGGAATTGCCAAGTGTGGGGGGTTTGTTAGATATACATTAGATATCCATTTGGTCAGTGAGGATGGAATTTAAGGTTCTGACGACATCAATTTGGAGCCTCCGGCTGTCTATGTGATGCATTAAGACGTGAGCCTGCATGAGATCATCCAGCCAGTGAGCGTGGACAGAGAACATCCCCAGGACAGTGCTGTGTCCAGAGGTCAGGGAATGAGGAAGAACCAGCAAAGGAGATTTGAAAGGAAAGGGAAGGGGTATGAAAAGTGAACGTGACAGTGTGACATTTGGAAACCAAGAGAAAAAATTGTTTTCAGGGAAGAGGAATGATCATCTGGGTCAAATGCTGTTGGTGGGTCAGGAAAGAAGAGGACAGAGAGTGGACCAATGGACGTGCAGTCACTGGGTCCTCAGCAAAAGTACGTTCTGTGATATAATGACAGAAGCTTAATCTGAATGAATTTATGAGTAAGTGAGAAAAAAAGAAATTGGAGGAGTTTCGCCATAAGGGAGCACAAAAAAAGGGAATGGAATCTGGGTGGGGATGAGAGGGAAAAGAGATTCTTGTTTACTTGTTTCCAGTTCTGTTGTTTGAATATGAGAAGTGAAGGCGTGGTTATCTGTTGCCATTTGAAGGCAGTGTTTTAGTAAAGTGCAGAGAGGTGGTAACAGAAAGAGCTAGGAGATCACTGTTGTGTCCTCCAGTCGGTAAGAGAGGATAGGATCCAGTTCATGGGTGGACTTAAATAGGTGCGTGAGCAATTCACACATTGGGACAAGAGGAGAATACAGTATACAAGAAGGAAATCGCAGGAGAGTGCTCAGGTAGGCCGAGGAGCTTGGGGACTCTTTCCTGGAGAACCCAGAGGCAAGGGTATCGGGTGAGGTGATGGGGAAGAGACATTGGATCTTTAAGGAGAAGTCAAGGGAATGAAACAGAGAAGGCAGCCAAGTCCTTTCCCTCCACTATATTCTGCGGTGAAAGACCCAAAGCAGTTGGCCTTGATCAGGGCTGCCAGTGTTCCAGGATTGCGGTTTCAACATTAAAACATAATGAAGAGAGGGAGGAACGAGTGAGTGGGTCAATGCAAAGTCAGGGTTATAATAGTGACCTATGGAATTTAAGTTGTGGAAGAAAGGAAGAAAAAGCATGCATGGAGTAAAGTCCAACTTTGTTTTGAATTTTCAGAATATAAAAACTCGCCCTGGCCAGTGTGGCTTGGTTAGATGGAGCACTGTCCCATGTACCAAAAACTCCCAGGTTCCATTCCTGGTCAAGGCACATGCCTGGGTTGCGGATCTGGTCCCTGGTTGGAGCGCATACGGGAGGTGACCAATTCACGTTGATGTTTCTATCTCTCCCTCCCTCCCTTTCTCTTTTCCCCTCCCTTCTTCTCTTTCTAAAATCAATAAACATATCCTTGGGTGAGGATTAAAAAGTAAAAATAAAATTAAGACGATAGAATATAAAAATGTTGCACCATTGAAGAGGGGTATAAGAAAATTCAGCATCCTGATATAGTAAGCACACTAAAGAGTGCATTCTTCCATTTGGATTTGCATTCCTTTGTGAGGTAACTTGTCAGTGATGAATGTCAAAACCTCGAATCAAATGAATTAAATTAGAATGTAACCTTCAAATTATTGTATCATAAAGTATGAAACTAAGAGGAGAAAATAAAAGTAACATTTAACAACTTATCGAAATTTTAATTCAATTATTTTGAAAGTGTTATATATTAACACAATATTTTGGTGAAAGCAAAATGCTTTTGCACTGTGATTAAACTACATATTATTTGGCTCACTCTTATACATTTCTATTTTGTGCATTGTAAAAAATATATAGTATTAGTACTTTTATATAATTTATCATAGTTAGCATATATTTTGGGATTGAAATCAAAACATAACACATTTCAATTTGAATAGGGAGTACAGTCAAACAGTTAGAAAGCCACTCTTGCAGAATAAATCACTGGGTTCCCACCATTTTTTTTTTTTTTGCTTTTGTACTGGTCTCATCCTCATCTTGAGCTTTCTCAGAAGAGATGTTGAAATTCCATTTGTTTTAACTCATGACAGGCATGTGATGGGGAGTCCCTTCATTTCAATTTCCTCACTTAGAAAATAAGAAAACTAGTAGCACTAAGTTCGTTGAATCTGGTCTTGATTTAAATGAGGTCATTCTTGTGAAGGGTTTGCCCTGGCAGTCTATCTGGTACCGCTCAGTAAATGGTAGCTGTTCTGAGAATGATACTGATTATTATGAAGATTTTAATACAACTTTAAACACCTACATTCACAACCTTATACTGGCATTGTAAGCAAGAGAAACAAACGTAATTTATGGTCCTCTCCTCTTAAGAAGTTTACGGTCTCTCTAGAAAGACAGGATTGCATGCATGAAGCAATTGGATAACAATCTAAATATAGATGCCAAAATATAAGCCGAAGATAATATCTGTGCTCCATACTCTCAGGTACAGAGTGTGGAAAAACCTAAGGTTGTAGGCCAGTTGCCAGGGACAGAAATCCTCCACACTGTCTCATGAGCTGCTTTCACACCTACATAAATGCCAGAAACAACCATTGTAACATCCTCTGATTATCACCACCAACAAAAATCTGTCCAATCACAAAAATCATCTATGTGGCAGTGAGGTACAGTCTTTGGCTGAGGATGTTCAAGGCCTTGAAATTTAGCTTCATTGTGCTGTCACGAATAATTATGGTGCAGATATTAGCCACCACAATCTTCTAAGAGGCTACCCTGGGTCAGGCACTGTACTGCCTCATTAGTCCTTACCCCAAGTGTATAAAATGAGAATCAACAACACGCTCCTTTGCAGAAGTGGAAGTCAGTGTACCAGAGATTAAGTAACTAGCCCAAGGCCAAGCAGCTGATAAGAGGAGAGGCTGAGATGACTCACAGGGCTCACCCCGCCACTCCATGGGAAGGCTTCTATTTATATTCTGTTAATGTATGCAACATTTAATGTTCACTTCTACTAAGCATATATGACTTTCAGCTTCAACTTTAACTTGGTTCATTTTTGCTGAAGAAGTTGCTCTTGTAACCCTGCTTGATTTAAGCCAGGATTTACATAATTGGGTTCAAATGGCAAAAGCTTAATAATTCCTCCTCCGGTTTGGAGGGTCGGTTTGACCCTCATCTCGAATAATCCTTTGGAAATAGAGTCTTCCGTGCTTTTCAGCAGAAGCACGGCTTCCCCTTTTGGAAGTAGCCTTCATTTCAATGAAGCAGGGGACTCTTCCGAACCCTAAGTTTCTTAGGGACAACTTCTGTGAAGTTGTCTGCCCTGAGAACCAGGCCAAGTCACTTGGGCTCATAGCCGACCCTTTTCAGCAGACTATCTTCTGAAAGCGGGAGGGGTAAAAAAATAATTTTCTCCCAAAGACATTTCTGTTGGTCTAAAGGGAGCCAATCTTCTTGTCTAAAGCTTTGTGAATTGGGGCATAGAGATACAGAAAAGTGGGATTTTTGTATACAAAAGCAAGGAGGGGAGATTAAAATAATCTAAACTCCAAGGTTCATGGATATTGCAAGAGGGTGGAAGAGGCCCCTGGTAATGATTCACCATCCACTAGCCACTAAGGCCTCTTTGCCAAATATTTGTGGTCAATAAGGAAAGGTCAGGACAGGCAATGAAAAGTGGAAAAGTCACCATAACCTCCAATCCTACACAAGCTAGAATTGCCCACCAGGCCATTGGCCTTTCCCGTAGGGAATGAACCTCTATGGTATCCTGCCAATATAGTTTCCAGAAAACCTATCGAACACCTCTAAATCTGGGACAAACTCTGGGCTCTTTCTTTAGAGGCAGAACCTTTCATTGGGAAGCTGCAAGTTGTCTGGGAAAGAGGATCCAGAACCAGAGCTCAAATACATGGGACTGGTCAAGTTCAATTCTGATGAAAGGTGTCCCCCTTCCCCCTGGAACTCCTACACCTCCTCTGTCCCTTTGCAAGAGCCACACTGTGTTCTATTGAGAAAAGCACCTTTCTATGCATTGGGTCCCCATTCATATGCAGGATCAGAAGACACATAACGTGTCCTATGTTCTTCAAGGTCATCTGGCTAGTGAGGCTTGAGTTTTAGTGGTCTTTAGAAGGAAAAAGCACTTACAAATGGAAGCTATTGCTATTCTTCCCCTTGCCCTGCTTCAGAAATCTAAAAACTCAGAGTTCCTGACAGTTCTTGTCTTTCTGTGCAAAGCTTCCCTGCCCCTGAACATGCAGACTCCAGCTTGCTGCCTTCCCCAAGAGAGTGGAGGTGCGGTTAGCTGTGCTTGCTTGCTGTTGCATGTATGTAGGCAATACAAATCGATGGGCTCCTGTGTGAAAACGCAGGCGAAGCTACACTGGCCCCACAGAAACACCAACAGCTACAGTGTGTTGCTTGCACCTGCATTTTTTCCCTCAGTTGCTTTCAAATCTCTTAAGGGGTAGAACTGTATCTTTGAAATCGTTGCTGACCAATGCCCTCAGAAAAATGTTTCCGCAGTCCCTGATTTCATGTTGTAGCCCTTTCTTAAATGTACCGCCTCATTCTCACCAAGGCTTAGAACCCTCAAACATACCCCCCATGGACTAGACCCTAAATGACATACAGCATTTCTACTTTTCCTTTTGGTCAGTGCTGTGCCGTCAACAGTCAGAAAAACTAGTAATAAGGACCTGCTGTATCTGTATTTCTTTAGACCCACAACTTGGACCGGAACTCAATGGGAAATTCCTAATAAACATCAGGGGCTTCCCAAATAGGAGTGAGCTTCACCCTTTCTCTGTGAAGAAACTGAGGACAAGGAAGATGAAATGTCCTTCTCAAATTTACACAGCTGGTTATTGGGGGACCTAGAACCAGAATCCAGATCTTCCTACTCCTGGTTCAGTTGCCGTTTCCCTCCTCCAAGTGACCGTAACCACCTGTCACTTACCTTGTTCTTTCTCCCACCATCTTTTAATGTCTCTTCCCTCAGTTAGACTAGAGTTTGCATCCCATTCCTTGAGAGCAAGCATCATGTTTTACACCTTTTTATTCCCCCAAGAGCATTTATTTAACCAAGTCCCAGAAAGGGAAAAATACTCCATGGGCATCTGCCAAATGACTGACTTGATTAAGCGATTCCATCTAACTCAGGTCTGCAGCCAACATTTAGCGTTTCTCATTCCTTTCATTTCCAAACACTTACAAGAGCCTCCGAAATCGTATGCCATGACAAAATTGAAATTACATCTCTGTTACCTCTACCCCCAGGCCCTTCCCTTCAACCAGCTCTAACAGTCCTGAGTGGCAACACCAATAACCAGGCTCACGAAAGACAGAAGGATTATAATCAATAGCAACCTCAGGTGCTACTATTGTCTCCTTACCTTGAATAGGAGAAGATAGAAGACTCCGGCACTGAAGAAGCAAACCAGTAGCGCAGTAACTACCGAGAAGACCCACGGCTTCCAGCCTGGCCTCTGTGCTCCTGAGGGAGTTGCATGGTGTAAAGGCATATTCTCCATGTGTTCCAAACTCATCCTCTGCAGGAATGAGAGCAGTGGAAAGAGATTCGCAAGTGATGGCCAGTGATGCAACAACTCGATTTTGTCGTATGATAATTAGTAGTGGGTGTGAAGGGGCGGGGCTTCTTTCCGATCCTGTCTGTTGGAAAAATGATACTCTGAGTCTCACGTTGGTACCGGGCCAAGTGTATTCACTCAGCAGAATGGAAGGCTTAAAAAAAGAGCCGACCCAAGTAAAGAGAATGGAAAATAAAAGGAAAAAAAAACCAATGCAAGGGAAGTTCAGAAGGAAAATTTCTTTCCTGGAGCAAGAGGAAGTACAGTGCAATGCAGCATTAAAAATTATTTCCAGATAGGAAAATGACTTTTTGTAAGAAGAAGTAAGATCTCAGATAAGGTTTTTTCGTACTTCGGATATGATATAATTGCATTGGCAAGGTGGTGAAAAGGGAGGAAAGCTAAGATGCAGGGTTCAGACTTTCATTCATTTCCAGGACAGAGAATACATTCCTTTTGAGAGAGTCTCTAGCAAACACCAGGGCAGTACTAGAATTTGACATGAAATACACATAACCACCGCAAGCTCAATTCTCTTCTATCTCAGTGTATTAAAACCCTGATACCTGAAGGCTGGCATCAGACGGAAATAATCATACACAAGGGTACTTTCTTGCATCATGCCCCCCCAGTCTGAGCTTGCACTCTATTCCGCACCCCCCCCCCCCCAAAAAAAGAACCTTGAATTTTCTTCCTGGCACTCAAAATGCTGATTAACTATAAAATTGAGAAAGTCCTCTGGTTCTCTGTGCCTCAGTCTTTCCATTTGTTACTTGGGAAACCTATGTTGTTTACAGGCTTCTAGCATCATGAGACGGAAAGAACATGGGTTTTGAACACGGACCTAAGAGGGACCTGGAGCTGCCCAGCTCTTTCTTGCCCACGCTCTTACCCACTCAGTGGCCTCAGCATGGCGCTGGACTCCTTGGTTTCTTTCATTGTAAAATGGAGATTGTCTCCCCATTCACAAGGCTTTTTGGAGAATGAAATAAATGTCAAAGGCTTGTCTCAGCAGAGGCATTCATGATTATTTCTCTCTTCCCCACCCTTCTTCACAATGTGGTGAAGGATGTATCAATGATAAAACCTCATAAAAAGGATGATTTAAAAAATATTTACCACTGGGTGTATTTCAGCTAAAGTTCATGTAAATCACAGGAGGTAAGATGAAAGCATTTTGAAGATAATTTTTTCTTTCATCTAACGGAAAGTTAAAGATTTTAAAAATCGGAACAAACGCCTGAAGATGTAACTATTTGTTTCCAAAGGAGGAAGCTAAGAAGAACGTCGTCGTAGGGAGGGGCCCCTCCCACCACGATGGCTGGGAAACAGCAGGAACCGTGTGACCCCTTTTGTAACCCCACTGCCTTCCCTGAGAACCACACTGTTTTCTAATGTGGCTGTGCAGTTTGGACTGGGCTTTATTTCACCCCGATTACCAAACTATCCCTGGAGAAAAGACTCACAGAGTCACACCGCAATAATGATGCAACACCACCGTGCTCTCCTGGCTTTGAACTCCATGGGGTGACGTAATGAGTAATGCCCTGACAGGAGGGGCGCTGCAGAGCGCCCACGGCTTTGGTGTTTGTATCCTGCCTGAAGTGCACCTGCCCACGCCCCACGCTTTAAACTGACCACTGAAAAGTTACATGGTTTCCTCCAGTTTCTCTGGTCTGCTTCCTTTTCCCCCTCTCCTCCCCGAATTCAGTTGGAATTAAACCCCCTGCTTAGTCACTTCAGTAAATGTTCATTCAAATGGGGAACTCTTCCAAAGAAAATCCAGCGCCTCCTTCTGCCCTTGACCAAGGGACGGCTCTGGTATGTTCGGATTATGTTAACCTTGTAAAAGTCTGAAAACGATGGCTTATCTCAATACATTCCTCTTTTCATGAAACAGGGTTCAAACATGAAGAAACTTCAGGTTAGAACAAGTGACAGTAGGGAACACTTTCTGATATTCTGAAGGAGTGAGTCACCCCTGGCATCTCTTTGAGGCAAGCCATCAGAATTGACACCTCAGGATGTGACAAGCACTAAATGTGCCCTTCTGCATTTATGGCCTGGCCCTGGGTCACATCCTTGGGATGAGATTTTCTCGATTAAGTCCAACTAGCAAATCGATGTTGAACGTTCACCATTGGCTGGCTACTGTGCTAAGAGTTTAGGGGGTTAGAAAATAAGCCACAGGTGTCAAGGCGTTTTCTGCCCGACTAGATTAAAACCTTATGCACAGGGGGACGGGTGCCAAGGTGAGTAACAGAGAACAGAGCCTCAAAGAACGGAAAGCTCTAGACAAGTAGAAATAGTAAGAAGAAAAGTTGGAAATGGATGGTTTGAGAGGACAAAGGTGGGAACGCACACTATTTCTGGAAGGAATTCGGAAACATGAGGAACAAATATTCAGAAGTGCGAATATCTATGAATGTTAGAGATTTCAAAAAGAGTGTGTGCAATGATGAAACATCAAACTTTTGAATAGTCTAGCAGTTTTCATTTAGGAACTGCAAAATGAGGAACTTTGGAAGAATTAGCAAAAACTGTACTCTTTTTGTGACAAATAGACTTGTCTTTGGTTTAAAGATACATAGATAAGTGATAGATAGATAGATGGATAGATAAGTAGATAAATATGATACATAAGTAAGGTTTTAAACTTGGAATTTTAAGAAGACAACAGCAGTATCTGTTAAGATTTATAAACGCCCACTCTATAAAAAGTATTATATACACCTAACTATACATAAGTAGATATATATGTACATCTATACATACACATATATACACATATTTGCATATTATGTGTACAGTAAATTCTAACAGATGCACTGAGATTTTGTACATCAATGTCCAGATCATTTTCTCCATGGAACTAACAGCAATCCTATTCAGGGAGATGGTCTAGGAAATAGTTTGAATTCAAACTATGTTTGTCTTCCATGACATAGGACCCTCTTCTATGCCCCAAATTATCTCATTGTGTGATGTTTTTGCATGTCTCCTTTCCAGGAGCCCTTACCAGACTCTCTGTGGTTCTTCTATGTTTTACTGGCTCAAATGTAGCCTTTGAGTCACAAACCTAGTCAGTGGTCACGCTCCACAGAGCCCCTCCTGGGTCACCTACTTGCTTTGCCTTACTGCTCATCTCTAAAAAAGGCGGTGCAGGGTACTAGGTTCCTGTCCCTCTAGCCCATGCCTCTGTGTGAGTGACTTCTTGTTTTGTGGGGGGGGAGGGGTCTTTTCTAGCCAAGCCAGCATGTGTCAGTATCCGGGCCATGGGAGGAGCATCTTAAACAACCTTTGATGGGAAGAATTGCTTCCTGCTTGGAATCCGAACTGCAAATAGATTTTGCGTTGTGCAATGTAGTGACACTTCCCATTTGAAAACACCAAACATCACCCTTGAAACTGGAATGAATGGGCATTGCTGTGAGATGGTATCTTGCCCAGTATCATGCAGATCACCAGAGAACAAGCTATGTCCCCTATGTATTTCAACCTACTTGAAATAAGAAGGTCTTAATATTCCTGAGACTATAACCTTCCTTAAGTCTCCTGGATTTCCCTGGGCAGCCCCTGCAGAGGGGCCTGGGGGTGGCCCCTCTCCTAACTGTGCTTGTTGGTCCCCTTATCTGACAAGCTCCGGCGTCAGCATGGGACAACCAGCACATCCACTGTATTCAACTCGAAACTGTGACAAGTGCTCGTGCAGGAATCGAAGACACACTTTCTGCTCTGGGTTTCCATTTTTAGCACTGACTTTACGCCATTCAATTTAGACAGTCTGGTCGTGGCTAGATTTGTTGGTTTTGGCAGGGGGAATCTAAATGAGTCCAGAAAGGTTTGGGCTTTTCTCTACGTGACGATTCTAAAATATCTCGAAAGGACATTTTGTTGTTGTTGCTCATTTAGTAAACATTATTGAATGCCTTCTACGTACCAAGTTCAGCGTCAGGAACTGGAATATGGGGGGTCAGTTTGCACCTTCAAATTTGGAATTGCTTTTTTGTTTGGTTTGGTTTGGTTTGGTTATCACAGGTGGTTTGGGAGAGAGACAACTATACGATGCAATACAGGGAGAAATGTGGTAAAGGGAAGTTTTATAAGAAAGGCAATGTCCAGGCTGAGATACAGGTCTAAGGAGAGACTAGCCCAATGAAAAGACGCCTAACACCCCATTCTCCTAAGCTAATGAGTTACTGTTCAGTGAAGTCATCACTATACAATAGGTATGTGTTATCTATTGATAATCTGCTGAAAAGCATGGCATAGAAACATATGCTGTGTACAGTATAGCACATTAAGAGACATTTAATGTGTGTCTGTAGTGTTAGGCACTATACTTGGAAGAGGAAGACAGAGTCTCTGATCTCAAGGATTGCATTATCTAGAAATTGCTGATTCTTCTCCATTTGATCCTTCCAAACTCGCATTGAAAATGTGTTTCAATTTCAAGATAACTTTCACTTACCTTTTTTTCTGTGATTTTATGTGACTTCCCCAGAGTTACCTCTTAATTCAAGCCAAGCGAGAATGGGCAAAGTGCCTAGAGTAGCTCAGGCTAAGGGACTTGTCTACCCGGTTGGATGACTCTGGCTGTGCGTGCCCTAGGGAGAACATTCCAACTACAAGGGAGAACTCCCCAGCGGGTCTGCCAGCGGAAATAACCTGCTGAATCACGGAGAGCCGCACGGAATGCTGCTGGGCGGAGCAGGGCCAACGAAGGGAGCAGGAAGTTTTCATTTGCTAAAAAAAGAAGCAATCCTGTGAAGTTAACTATGCATGTTATACTAAGATAAAGCCTACATATTTCAAATTTTTCATCACCCAACAAGCCCAGGGGAAATCTCTTTGGCTGTAAGCAAAGGTAAATTTTTCTCTGCACACGTACGCCAGCCTCTTCCATCCTGTCCTGGTGCTTCATCCCATGGATTTCCAGATCACGTCAGGAATTGCAATGCCACCGAGCGCTGGTTTCAAATGTGAACCATAAAAAAAAGGAGATTAAAAATTTACAGTGTATAAACTAGGGAACACATAGGGATGAAAAGCCTGCTCTTTTCCAGGGACCCCGTTTCAGGTTTCAACTTCTACATTATGAGGTTTATGTCATCTTCACGCCAGCGTTACAAATATGCCCTGTTAGTCCCACAGGATGCAAGAGAAACTGCCTAAGACTCTTGATGAACCACCGCTACTACTCTAAGTAATTAAGTACTTACGTAGAAAGTATTGCAACACTACTTCTGGTCCTGGATGGTGACGCAGGAGGCTCTGCACTCCCCGCCTCCCGTGCACACATTAAACCTCCACACAAAGCAATTCCCTCTGCAAGAAATCCGGGACCGGCCGAGCAACTTCTACAACAATTTCTGCAACTTTTGTATTCCTTCGACTGAAAGAATAAGAAAAAGACTCACACTAAACTGGTAGGAAAAGGATAAAGGAAATACAAAACAACCAGAACAAATTAACAGGATGGCACTAGTAAAAGTCCATATTTAAAACTAATTACCTTCAATGTAAAATAACTAAATTCTCCAATCAAAACAGACTGATGGATGGATTAAAAAAAAAAACAAGAGCCATCCATACACTGCCTATAGGAGACTCATTTCAGCCTTGAAGACACACACAGACTGCAGGTGAAGGAATGGAAAAAAGATGTTTCATGCAAATGGAAGCCAAAATAATGCATGCGGCCCAGGATGGCTCTCAGTGTGGCCCAACACAAAATCATAAATCTACTTAAAACCTGATGAGATTTTTTTGGGGTTTTTTTTTCAGTGTTTGTATGTTTAATGTGTGGCCCAAGACAGTTCTTTCCTCCAGTCTGTCCCAGAGACCCCCAAAGTTTGGACACCCCTGCAAATTAAGCCAAACACTGTAATAGGGTTGAAGAAAGTCCCTCTGCAGGTGACATGATAGAAAACCTAAAAACTCCATTAAAAAACTGTTAGACTATATTAATTCAGTAAAGTGATACAAAATAAATATATAAAAGTCAGTAGTATTTCTATACACTAACAATGAACTATCAGAAAGATAAATTAAGAGAACAATGCCATTTATAATGGCATCAAAAGAATAAAATATTTAGGAATAAAGTTAATCAAGATGAAAGATGTATACATTGAAAACTGTAAGCATTGATGAAATAAATTGAAGAAGACACAAATAAATGGAAAAAATATCACAAAATATCCCATGTTCATGGATTGGAAGAATTTATATTATTAAAATGTTCATACTACTCAAAGCAATCTAGGGATTCAATAATCTCTACTAAAATTCTAATGGCACTTTTCACAGAAATTCTGAAATTTGTATAGAACCACAAAAGACTCCAAATACCTGGCTGGTGTAGTTCAGTGGATTGAGCGCGGGCTGGAACCAAAGGGTCGCCAGGTCGATTCCCAGTCAGGGCACATGCCTGGGTCGCAGGCCAGATCCCCAGTGGGGGCCAGTGAGAGGCAACCACACATTGATGTTTCTCTCCCTCTCTTTCTCCTTCCCTTTCCCTCTCTCTAAAAATAAATAAATAAATAAAATATTTTTTAAAAGACCCCAAATAGCCAAAGCAATCTTAAGAAAGAGGAACTAAGGTAGAGGATTCACACTTTCTGATTTCAAGCTATATTATAAAGACACAGTAATAAAAACAGCATGGCACTGGCATAAAAACACACCTAGATCAATGAAACAGAATAGAGTGCCCAGAAATAAACTCGTGCAGTCAATTAATATGCAACAAAGGAATCAAGGACATATGGTGGGGAAAGAACAGTCTCTTCAATAAGTGGTGCTAGGAAAACTATGAAACTGGGCTTCTGTTTTATATAATACTCAAAAATAGACTTAAAATGGATTTAAAAAATTGAACATGAGACCTGAAACCATAAAACTCCCAGAAGAAAACATAGGCAGTAAGCTACTTAACATTGGCTTTGGCAGTGATTTTTTGGATTTGACACTAAAGCAACTGCAGCAAACCCCAAAACAAACAAGTAAGGCTGCATGCAGCTGGCACCCATATGTCTGCCCACCTGGCCTCTTATTGGAAGGCTCTGGGACAATCTGCTTCTAGTTCCATTGGGGTAGGTGGCCGAATTCAGTTCCCCTCCATCTTCCACAGCAGTGGGCCAGACCCTGCTCACGTGTCAAATATCTCTGACTTCCACTTGTGTGGCATTTATCCAACTCCAAACATGGAAAGTTCTGTGATTCAAGGGCCTTTGTGATTACATTGGACCATCTGGATAATACATGATAACCTCCCTATTTTAGGGTGCATACCTGAATGACATCTGCGAAGTCCCTCTGGCCCTAAGGTAACATACTCATAGGTTGTGGCGATTAGTGTGTGGACAGCTTGTGGTGGTCCTTCTGCCCACCACAGGATGCCAGCCAGGCCTTTGTTGCCTGCTGACATCAGGGAGTCCTTTGGAGAGACTGCTGTGCCTCTCTCCACTCTTAATGGGTTATTTCCAGGGGTT